CCCCAAAACCCCAAAACCCCAAAACCCCTCTAGTATCGATTTTATGTATCTTTAGATTTAAGTTTTAATATACATTTTATTAATAATTTGAATCATAATTAGAGAGGGTAAATTAAGTATATTGCAAGTTTTATGGTTATAAGTGTTGTATATGTAAATCTTAAGAATTGAGTGATAAGATCATTTCAAACCTGAAAACTCTAATTCTTAAGAATCTGATGAAGAATTTCTTATCTAATAATCTGGAGCAAATCTATCATAAGCTTTTTCCAAGTATTCACTTAGATTAATTGACTAAGAATGATCATTGACCTCATCTTCACTTTGCTTTCTAATAATACTTTGCTTTCCAAAGTAGTTATCATCATCTATGATGTAATCATTCAAAAATTACTCATCTTTTCTTATCTTGACTTCATTTTGATGTTCTTAATTTGCTTTAACTTAGGTGTCAATTTTGCTTATTTAGTTTAAAGTTGACTGTTGAGTAAATTATGACTGATAACTATAATTGAAGTCAATTAAGTTGTGAATATTATTAGGTTTTTCTTCCTTTTTGATCATGCTCTCATGCTTTTGAAGATCATAGTCAAAGAGAACCTTGTTGGATTTATTAAGTTAAATAAACTCTTTCGAGGGCTCACAAAAGTTTATATTTGGATTAAGGCTCATCATTATTTACATTTGCTAGTAAAAGGTATTATTCTCTACTTGCTCTAAATATGGATTTTTGGTATTTGAGTTATTCTTAATTAAAGGATTACTATTTTTAGTAATGCTTCTCTATTCTTAAATATATTTCACTATTATAGGTGTAATGAAAGCTTTGTTCACTTTATTGAAGGATTATGAATTTATGTTTAGCTGAAAAGTTTCTAGAGTTTTAAGATCTATACTTGATTAGAAATTTTTCTAACTAGGATTCAGAACTATTTCATCATCCGACAGTTAATCATTGATTTAAATGCCAGAGTCGTTCAATTCTGCTGTTCGTTGCTCTTATTGAACTCTATTAGTTTTAGCATTGATGACATAGAATTCATTTTTGCTGGTAAAAGTTAAAATTCTAAAGTTTAAATCTTTGCTTTCTGATGATTTATGATTGTTGCTTTCCTAATTTTATCTTTAAGAAATCAATGACACAATTCTGATTTCCCCTTACTTTATAAGAGATTTATATTTAAACCTAGAGACAGGAATAAGCTAGATTATATTGTTATGGTTCTTGTCATCTTAAATCTTCTTCTAAATAGGTGTTTCATTTACTTAGGAAGGATTATTAAGATGATAAATATGAGAAGTTCCATTTGAACTATTGATGATGAGGATCTACTCAAGATCTGAAAAATTCAACGAGAGATTGACAAATTAGACATCTGTGACCATGGCAGATGTGTATCCTCTGAAGAGTGAATACACAAGTCTGACACGCTCGTAGTGACATAGATTATCACACTTCATGAATCTCTAGTTTTATTGAGGGAGTATCTCGTAAATGTAGAAATATTGAGAATTCTCATTGCCAACCAAAAGATATCTTCCAGATGGCGAAAATCTTACCAAAGATATGTTTTTAAAAAATGGCGGCTAAATTTCAAAAAAGAGAGTTGAATCTTGAAGGTCTCTTACCCTCACTGAAAAAATATTCTCCTTGTTGATAACTGATTTATGCTAGAGGGGCTTGAGAGAAGGGTCTTCTTGAATTTAATCAGAGTTTACCCTTGATCTTCTCACTGGGTAATTAACCTCCAGAAGAGGTTAATTATTGCCCGATAAAACCTCTAAGCCTTGAGTTTTGTTATGATTTGAGTTTTAAGATCTGTAAGATACATTGTTATTTTAGCCTATGGGAGGCAAGGCTTTACTTACTGAACCTTTGCAATTACAAAAATTCTATTTGATTCCTTAATTTTAAGCTAATTATTGAAGTTTGTTATTATCTATAGTCATTGCTTTCTAAACATTCATCAAATTCACCACTTTATTTATCGATGCTTGACCCAATTAAATCAGTTACTTCGTTGCTTCTTTGGTCAAAAAATAGTTACCAAGCAGTGATTAGTCTACATTTTTGTTGATTTCTTATACAAAATCTGTCTCGTTTATTTCATTGTAGATATAAGCGAAAAGATTATGACTTACTTCGAAGTCTTGTGATAGTGAAGCAGTTAATAGTTGAGATTCGTAGAGAGCTTGAGAATTCAAGTTACTTTGAGGATTTAAATTGAAAGTTTTCAGGCTTATTTCTTACTCTAGTGTTTTCAAATTAAATATTTTTAGTAACCCCTCCTGCAATAGTACTATTAACTGATTAGTTTAAGAGTTTTAACTAGACTGGAATTTAGTAATTGGACTGTTAAATCTTAACACGTGAAGACTTCTATCGCATTTGAGAGAGTATATTTTTAACATGGATTAGTTTTAAATGGTTGTGTATGCCACTAAAGGAGTCATGTTATCATAAACACCCTCTTCTTCCACTTTAAACATATCTTCTCGATAATCAGCGTCTAGATTCTTATTTCTGACGTCATAATTTCTTTGGTTAATATTATCCTCCTTAGAATCGAAACTTTTTCGTGGTTCATCAATATTCCATTGCTAAAATTGAGGGAACTGATTATTTTTGTTTTAATTATGTTTTTGACACTCATTCAAGTGAAGGATATCTATTTGCTCAATCCCTTCTTCTTTTTTTCTGTAAATGCAATCTAACTCAACATTGGAGTTAAGAAGTGATGAAGGCTTAAGGAGCCAAATTTCGAAAGTAATATCAGTGCTAACAATGAGACAGTTCAAAGAAAGCTCCTCATCTGATGCCCCTACTACTTTATTCTCATCAATGGCCTCACTTCGAATGTTGAATTTCTCATGCATTTCATCAGGGATAATTTTTAGTAGCTGATTAGCTTAAATTTTTGAGAATTTAGAGTACTTTATAGGCTGAGGACCCATCTCAATGGTGGCTTACTTAAGTTTAGCAACCATTGACATAATCTGCTCTGGAAAGTATTGAGTCAAATATTTACTCATTCTTGTTTTTAATTTTAAGACAGAATAATTCAGATTTAAATAATTATTTTCATCCATAATAAAAATGAAAGAGATTCTACTTAATACTGCAAAAACCTTTAAAAATGATCAATAAGATCTTTAGTATGAGAAACTAGAAATACCAATAAAGCTGAATTAAAAAAGTCTGGTGAAAAATGAAATTGATGAGCAAATACTTATACAAGCTAACCCTACTCTTAATAACTCTAACATCTAGATTAACTTCAGCTACTTGTAAGGTAAAACTCAATTGATTGTGTCTTTGTATGGACCAGTGGAGGCAAAAATAATGTCCAAAAAAGATTAAGCGAAAGGAATAGTGGAATTAATGATTAAAGATACTACATCAACCAGCTAAATAGCAGGACTTAGAACTAGTGAGTAGCTTAGATCAGATTTAAGATCTGTTTTAGAGCAAGCAATTCTATTATAAGTTTATCCAGGAAGTCTATTTACATTCCAAATATTTGTACTTAAAGACGAAACCTAAGGTGTGCAACTCTTTAGTTCCTGCTTAAATGGGTTACTTTCTGTTCTTCATTAATCTGGTATAGCAATGAAATTGGCTCCTTTAATTTCAACTACAATCCTTATAAGGCAAATTGATATGAGTGATGATTAGTCATAGCTAGAGATTATTACAGATCCAACAAAAATAAGTGAATCAGATGATAAATCTTCTTTATTAGATATAGTTGCCTCAAGTAAATCTGATATCGCTTACATTAAGTCTATGCTTGTTGAATTTGATTATGGGATGCTTTTCACTAGCGAAGCTAATAGAAAGCATATTTAAAAAATACTAAAATCTAAACTCAATCAGCTAACAAGTAGTTTCTTGTAATGAATTAATTAAGAATATTAATGACTTAAAATTAATTATCAATAACTTTTGAGTAAAATTAAAGGATATCGGGGTTTTGGGGTTTTGGGGTTTTGGGG